GCTCATGTGAGATTGATAATCAGATCAAAGCAACTTTTTTTGTTTCTTGCTACCCTCCCTTTTATGCAAAAATGCTTTCTGCAAATAAAACAAATAAAATATAATGCACCAGATTTGAGGTGCCCGCGCTCTCCACTCTGCAGATTAAGCATAGCAGAATGCAAGTATGGACGTTAAAAAAAAAAAAAAAAAAAAAAAAAAAAAAGGCGGCTCCAATGTGGTTGCAATTATCGTATCCGAGGTTTTTCTTCACTGAAACATATCAGACAGGTTAGAAAACAATAAGGAAGTCACCAAAGAACCACAACAGTGTTGGCATAAACTTTGGATAGAAAAGCGAAGGAAGTAGGGAGCAATAATAAAGTTGAGTACAGTTTGAGGGTGGTGTTCTGCTGAGAAGCAATGGCCGAGTAAAAAGACGTGAAACGAAGAATGGATCAGAAGAACAATGACTTACCCACCCATCGCCACAAAAGAAATGGAATTGTGTGTTGAACAGAAATGGAGAATAATGCAATCAGACTAAACTGTGGAGGAATTGTGCTTTGTTTAATGGTTTTAGTTGTGAATTAATGATATGATATGGGAAGGGACTCCTTCTCGCTTCATGGAACGCTTTTTTTTTTTTTTAAAGAAAAAGTTTCGTGAAGGAGCTCTTCTTCGCGTAAATGTCTCCCAATGCCTGGATGCTCTGCAAACACAGGTTAATGGTGCTACGGAAGGGATGGAGAGGAAAAGAGGAGGAAGAAAGAAAAAAAAAAAAAAAAAAAATGCTGCATATTTGATGATGGTCTTCAAAACAAACAGTCCCAATGTCCCAGCCACTAATGAAGGACCGATCACATTTAATTAACCAGGTACTCCTTCTGCTTTAACAAGATCTCCTTACTTCTTGAATGGATTGATCCTGAAAACCTTGTAGCCTTGATCAGATAATTATGTGTTTGTGTTCTTATGGCTATGTTGATAGTTAGCTGTGCCTGTGCTTGTGCCTATGCTTGTGGTAGATTAAGTGTGGCTAATGAAGAAATAACAAATATGCTGAGCATGTCAAGAAACATTTTAAACTTTTTCATTCATGCCTTTTCCGTTATAATTATATTATGCTGCAGGGTTTATCTGGAGGACAAATTCTAGCAAAATATGATAGCGGGCAGAGAGAGCATCGATTGATCCAGACCATGCATTGGGCTGCGACAACATCAAGATGGGGTCACATTGTGAGACACGTCCAAAAAATTTCGTCGTTCCCAACTTCCCACCCCACCGTTTCCCTCCATTACAACGTTGTCTCATCCTCTTGTTTCTTTCATTCCTTACTATTACCCGTATACTCCATTCCATCCTTGCATTACCTCTTTACTAATTTACTCCAACCAGCTTGGTAGCGACTCCAATATGATTATTTCTACGCCAAAGATAGATGACATGAGCGATTGTAATACGCTCACCATGAATAACACTATTGCTAATGCCCAGATAACCGCAGCCTTTACTTACCCAAAAGCAAACAATCCTCGTCATTCCACTTCATCAAATACAACATCACTTGATATCGACAATTCTGCTGAGCCCCATCAAATCCAAAGCCAGAGCAAGAATCAGCAGAAAAGATCTTCTTCTGTGGACGGTTATGTCTCTCGAGTTGGCTTTGATACACTTGGCTGTGACGATACTTCAGAATACGCGTTTACGCTTCAGGCAAAGACTGATAGCTGGAAGAGAGGCAAGCATAGTAGAACATTCCTTGTTGGAACCGACTTGAATGAGTATTCGGCTCATGCTTTGCAGTGGGTCATGGAGAACATGGTTGAAGACGGTGATGAGGTAAAAGTTTTTAGAGTTCTTTACCTTGCAATATGAGACAATCTGACATAAAAAGTTCGAGAAATCATTGTTCCGATCGTTCTTCTAACACAAGAGGGTTATGGAATGTTTGGTCCATCTTACTTGAGCCAGACAGCATTTGTACTTTATTCTATGGACACTTCTCAATCTTTTACACATGCATACTGTTTGTACAAGTCGAAAAACTAGCTCAATCCTCCATATCGATCTCACACACGAAGCTGACGTGCCTTCCTCTGTTCTATTGCATCATTCAGATAGTTGCCCTTCGAGTCGTCCCTGTGGAACTGAGAGATTCCTGTAAGTTTATTTTTGGGTTGAACATTGTCCTCGAGGACGACTTGTTCGAAACGAAAAGGCGTCATAAGGCAACAATTGATTATTACATAAACCGGCGCATATAAGAATACAAAAATGCATTGCCAAGATAACAAATACATCTGTTCGAATCATTTTTAATGAATCAGCTCGTTCTTAACATACGTCTTGGCCCTTCATCGATACTTTTCTAGTGTCAAAAACACGTATCCCTTCCTTCCAAGGTCAGGAAAGTGCAGCTCGTGAAGAAGCTAACAAACTTATGGCCTCGATCCGCGAGCAGAATCTGTCTGGGAGAGAACTTAGTATCGTTGTTGAATGCATGGTTGGCAATGTCCGTGATACCATTCAATACATGGTAAGGACCCAATAAGTATATTTACCATTGAGGAATCAACATATTACAATATGTCAAGCATTAACACTGCATTGAAAAAAAAAAAAAAAAAAAAAAAAAAAAGATCAAGTTGTACCAACCAGACATGTTAGTAGTCGGGACGAGAGGCCGCAATCCAGTCAAAGGATTTTTACTAGGTTCAGTGTCACGATACTGTTTACACCATTCTCCCGTCCCTGTCGTCGTTGTTCGTCCAGAGCGCAAGCTGACAAAGTCAAAAAACAAATCTAAAGGGATATTCCGGCGCCGTTCATCTCTCCTTCCAATCGAAAAGCTTGACTACCAACCTCATTTTGCTCAACCCGTGCACATGTCCGCCTCTGATTTTGATTTGAGAAGCATGCAAACATACACCAGTAGTAACGGCATTTTGTCTTCTCAGAGTGCTCTTTTCCAAGTGCCACCATTCACGCAGGCGTAAAGTTCCCGGGACGGACTAGTCCTAGTGAGAAATGAGACCACTTTCGTCTCTATTTTTGCCGAACAATACACCTACGACCATGGCTGAAGCAACATCTGCACTTCCTGCAGAATCCGCCATCTCATCTCCCTCTTCAATAGCATCCGCGCCAGTATCAGTAGCACCAACAGCATCGGCGGCATCCACAGCAATACCAGGAGGTGAAGCTTCGCCCGCATCTTCTACTCGATCTTCAATTACGCTTTTACCATCTCAAATCCGGTCATCTGCTGCTCCACCACCGGAAGGCACGCTCAAAATGAAGAAGAGTTTAACTGTTGATGGTACAGGCAAAGGAAATGGAGGCAAGCACAACAGACGTTCGTCTGGTGGGATCCTGTCTGGATCTTCGTTGTTTGGACCACTGTTAGGGAAAAACGGTGATGGTAGCGGAGGAGGATTCCTTAAAGGGAAGAGGTTTTCCCATAGCGGATAAACATTTTATGAATAAATATACTGTTGTATTTTATCACATACATGTTCAACCAACTGCAAATAACATAGTCTCGGCTAAATGACTCTACAGTTTTTCCCCGAACAATTCAGATCCTTTCCAATTTCCAGTAGGGCCTATAAATTGGTGATAGATATACAAAGTTAAAGGAAGGGCATCTGTGTACATGACCGCTGTGTCAGAGTGTCTGTGTGACAAAGCCTTGTTATTCAATATCCCAATTGACCTATTTGAGTGCCATTCCTGTTACAGCACCTTCAATGCCGAATTAAAATAAAATAGTGTGTTCAGGTTAGAGGTTTGCTATTGGTTAATATCATAGATCCGAATAGAGATTGTGGTAAATTTATTCTCAGTCATATTGTATCGTTGATAATCATGTTCCTGCATAGCGATTAAAGAAAGAAATCTGGCCTTCTCGATGGGATCTTCATCAAGTGGAACCGAAAATACAACATATAAGGAAATGCCTCCATCAAACAACAAATTGATGATGTTCAGAGGGGAGGGAAATACGACCGATGAGCTCGTTCACAAAAGGATGGAGAATATTTGCTTGTATCTCCACAGCTTCCATACATTGAATTTTAAAAGTCTACTACAGGACTCTCCTCCCCTAATTAATTTTGAGGATCTTGCGAGCCAGATTTTTGATAATGATTCAAATAGCATGATTGACATGAGCAGTGATACTTTTGATAATGATGAAATCTGTTCAACTAACGAAGGTAAAAAGGTCGTTCATTGGTAGTAGACACTCTGTTTTTGTTCTTTAATTGCTCCGCAAGCTCTTTGTCAGAGAGTTTAGTTTGACTTGGAGTTAATGGATATTGAAAACAGTTGCTTCATCATTTAATCCGATCCAGAGGAGAATGGTACAATATACGAAGGACTTCAGAAAACGTATGAATATAAGCTATATTGGACTCAATTTTTAGGTTGGTATCAGCACAGACTCATCCGTGGCAGTAGCGAAGTCGCTTTCTCTGAGTTATTCCAGTTCTTCGTATAACTCGCACCAAAAGTAAAAAAAATATTTTTTTCGCCTTTTGCGTTAAAAGCGACCTTTTCGGCTACTACAGCGCAATCGAAGATAACAACGAAAAAGGATCTCCCAATTACCAATGAGGTGCCACAATATCTATTCAAATAGAGGCTATTGGGAGCTCCTATCCCGTGTATGTGACTTTTTGCAGAGAGTCAAGCTTGTCACTCTTTTTGGTTAGTCCTTTCAATTATAGAATTTTGTTAAGTAAACCATTTATATTTGAAAGAGCCTAGCCAAAAAGAGCGACAAGCTTGACCCTCTGCTTTTTTGGATACTCCTTACACGTGACACCCTACAAATATAAATAAAGCAATCGCTGTGCGCTGCACTTATCATTTATCATAAAGGTGGATGATCTGATGCATGATTGTTCATTACCTTTTTTCTCTTTCTTCTTTTTCTTTTTTTTTATTTTAATTAATTCGTATTATTTGTATAATCTACTGTCTATCTGAGAAACATTTAAGAATAAATCAAAAAAGAAAAAAAAAAAAAAAAAAAAAAAGGCGGATTCATTAACGCAACAAAAAAAAAGAAATCACATCTCACACATCACATCCTGTCATGTCCTTTTTACGCTCACGTCCACCTATTCAGACCAATCGTGCACAGCAGCGCAGAGCCCTCGGGGCAGGCACAGGCGTCGGTACTGGCCCTACTATTAAGCGAAAGATTGAAAAGCCTGCGCCCCAGGCAATACCTGAGAATCATACGGACTATAAGCTGGTTTCAACCTCACGAGATGTCTTGCATCATGTTATGCGTTTTCATGGAACAAAAGAAGTGGACCCATCTACATTCACTGCACCTGTCAAGTTGCAACGCAAGCGAAATGAGACCAACCATTACTATCGCGGATATAACTATCAAAACAAATACAATAACCAAAATAATAAGACAGGCGATGACAAGAAGGATGGCGCCACCACAGGGGCAGGAGGTGGCGCTAACGGAGGTACCCCTGGGGCACCATCAACAGGCCCAACAACAGGAGCAGACACATCCTTGATTGCACCCTATAGCGGAGCGGTGTCAGGAATAAACAGATGTTGTTTAAGAAGCGGACGAGACAGATTTATATTGCTAATGAAGAAGAACGGAAGAAAAAGGAGATTGAAGCTGCACCTTGGGTCATTGAGGACTATGATAGTAAAAACAACTGGACCGGCCAACTCGAAGGAGGCCAACACGCAAACTATGTCCTGTTTGTGTTTTCAGATGACGGTTTTAAAGTCGTACCTGCTGATAAGTGGTACAAATTCTCTCCAAAGATTCCATATACAACCCTTACTGCCGAGGAGGCTGAAGAGCAGGTAGAGTAAAATGAATGTGTTTAGGCACATTGCATGCACTGGAAACTTGTTTCCCTACTGTTCTTATTCAATTTTTTTCTTTTTCTCGAACGTATAGTATCAAAAGTCACAGAAGCAGAACAATAACATCCGATGGCTTATGAGATCCAAGAACAAGACAAAAGCAGAAGACGGCGAGGAAGGCGTTGAAGAGGATGCGGGACATGAACAATTGATGACTGTTGATCATGAGGATGACGTTGGATACGACGAAGATGAGGCTAAGGAACGAAAGAAAAAACGCGGAAAACATGGTGATGTGGATGAAATGGACTTTGATGAAGTCTGGCAAGATGACGAAGAGATGCCAGCCGAGATGCCAGGATTTGAAGATGACGCCAAGGACGATGTAAGTGAGCGAAAAAAAAAAATGATAATAATAATCATGGACAACACGTCTAGATAGTTGACATTGGAGGCGCTGTCTGGGACTACATTTATCATGCGCTGACTTTTTTTTTTTTTGTTGCTCCATTCATCTTTGGAAACACTTTGGAATTGCCTCAGTCCCGGAGAAACCAAGGGCCATCTATGGATTCTGATGAAGATGAGGATGAAGAGGATGATAGGGGTCGTTTGACCGAAACTGGAAAAGCGGTTAAAAAAGCTCTTTTGAAATTGCAAAAGAACAAGGTCTATGCAAGTGATGATGACAAAGATCCATATGCGAGTGTAAGTTCTTAAACACATGACATTATTTGTTTCTTTCTGTAAAAAAAAAAAAAAAAAAAAAAAAAACTCATTCGATGCGAATCTTTATTTTTTGATCGACCTAGGATAAAGATTCGTCCGATTCTGACTTAGATGAGGTTGATAAAGAGAAAGAAATGAAGAAGGAGGACGAGTCGAATCCTTTATCACAAGAGACAGCTAAACAAAAGGGCAAGGGCAAAGCCAATGCTAAGGCGCCATTGATTGCCAAGAAGGCGAACGCTGCCAAAGCTGCCACACCCAATAAACCCGTCACTGCCAAGGCGGTCAAGACTAAAGTACCCATGCCGACGCCCCGGAATGTCAATGCGAGCGCCAATGGTAAACCATCAAGCTCACAGTCAAGACTGGGGCTTTATCTTCTCAAAGTCCAAAACTGCCTAGCAACGGCATTGCATCCTCCCCTGCTGCGGCTGGGGTAGTTGAGAAGAAGCGTAAGAAAATGGGCGATGCTAACGAAGCGGCAGATGATGGCCCAAGTAGAAAGCAGCCTCGATCTAATGAGCTGGCACCATCAGCACCATCATCAAGTGCTAATGCTCCTGCAGATACTGGAGCACCTGGAGATGGTAAACGTATTCTTCTTTTATTACGTTTTTTTATTTGTATTTTGCCTTTATGATGAACTTCCTTAATGAACATAGAACTTTTTTTTTGTGATCAAATAGATTCAATGCTTATTACAGAGGCAGAAGTGATAGCGCTACTCAAGAGTCGACCACAGGTGACCACCCGCGACTTGATTGTGGACTTGAAGAAGAAGCTGCGGAAGGAACCTCGTAACAAAAATATCCTTGCTGCTATTGTTAAGAAAGTAGCAACACCTCATGACGGCATTCTGGTGCTGAAGGAAGGCTTGTAAAAAAAAAATAGCCTGTTGCTGCCTCTATTTTATGCAGGACATTTGTGTTGGAGAGATTAGACTTGTTCTTTTATTAGTTACTTTGAAGTCTTCTCCACTTTCTTATTGTAAAAATAAAGACGACGGTTGTTTGTTGCACAAACAATCTTCCAACAGAATTGCTATGAAGAGCAATTCTGTTTATTAGCATTTCACTTGACTTGATCAACAATTGAACTGTACACAAAAACAAACACTCGAGAGCACTTTGTGAAGCGCATGCCATTTTTCATGTCTACACTTTATTAAAAAATAAGCATTCGGCGGGCAAATTGAAAGAGGCATATTCATGTTTCTCTCTTTTTGATTTCCTGAAAATCCTTTTTTTTTTTTTCCTCTTCTCCCCACCTTACTCTTCATCCTACTCTTCATTTCTTTTTTTTCTTTTCTTTCATTCTTTATCATAACGCTCTCGCTTGCAAGTGCTTAACGATCCCCTTCCTGCCCAACACCACACTCCCCATTGATTTGTTTCCTCATCCTATCACTTATTCATCCGTCCTTCTTCATCTCCAATCCTTCTGTCGATCTACTAATAATTTTTTTTTCCTCCACACTTTTTTGCTTAAAGTCAATGTCGATGTCAAACACTATCAGAATTATGCTAATCCTTGCCGGTATAATTGCATGTTTCCAACCACTGGCACTGGTCCTGGCTCAAACTCAGTCAGCAGTTCCGACTAGGGGTGCTCCTCTACCACCCTCAAATCAGAACACACCAGGATTGGCTGTCGTCCCGTCTAACGGAATGGCCATTTATCAAGAGTCAATCGTGTATATTTCGGCTGTGATTGGGGGAAGGCCTATCAGTAAGCCTCATTTCTCATTGTCTTTCGTTTTTCTTTCTTTTTTTGTTTATTACTTGACTAATCCTTTATTTTTGTGTTGTACCAGGCTCTGCCTATATCTCGATTTCTAAGGCAGAGAGTTCCTCCAATACCACCATTGCCGATATTAAAGGTCTATCTATAAGACGCTTGGTTCAATCCTGGAATGTCACCGCTGCTGACTATCCTATTGGTGATTACTACGTACGTTTTTCATGTGTGTTATTTTTCAGCAAACATTGGATCTTTCGTAGTAGAGCCCTCTAATTAACTCCTTGATTCTTTTTTCTTTCTTTCATATCATCTAGCTACAATTGATTGTTACACCTAATACAACCAGCATTATTCCCCCTCTAGTGGTGTCGACAACAGGAACACCCGTCCCGACCTCAACTGCGCGTCCGGCTCTTCCTACGACTCTACCGAGCATTTATTACTGGCGGGCTTGGTTAGTATTCAGGCTCCTCTTGAAAAGAAGGGATCATCCAGCTCTGCTGCAGCTCTTGTGACCTTTGGTAGCAGCACCGGCGCTGGCGCTGGCGTTATAGGATCTTTGAATATGCGTGCTGGATTAATGGCTATCCTTCAAAAGATGAGCATTGCCTTAGGAGCGCTAGCACTCGGATGTATCATCACTCTTTGATTTTCTTTGGTGACCAAGAACAGAAGGAACAATCTTATGAAGAATAGTACAAAAATAAAAATATAATACTTTATAGACAAGGCAGACATAGGTTGCTTTTTCAAACTACTAAATAGATTAGGTGTATGTATTGCGAAAACATCTCTTAGGCCTTCGCCTTGACCAAGGCGCCGCCGTCGACAGGGATGATAGCCCCAGTAGTGTAGGCACCGGCTCTGGAAGCAAGATAGATGCAGGTGGCAGCAATATCCTCAGGCTGACCAATGCGACCCATAGGGATGTTTGATACAATGGTCTCTCCAAAGTCTCTTAAGGTAGCTGCCATCATCTTGGATTGGAAAGGGCCTGGAGCAATGGCGTTACAGGTAATATAGCGGTGGCCCAAGTGACCTGCCAAGACGCGTGTCATCTGGTGCAAAGCTGCCTTGGAGGCGGAGTAGGCATATGTCTCAAGGGTAGGTACATGGATGCCATCAACAGATCCAATGTTGATGATCGAAGCAGGAGTCTTTTCTGTGGCTGCAGCGTCCAAGAGAGGTAACATTGCCTGTGTCAAGGAGAAGACACGCTTCAGGTTGAGATTCATAACTTTCTCAAACGCTTCATCAGGGTAGGACTCAATAGGAGCACCCCACTATAACAATAAAGGAAGAATAAAATAATTAGGTCGCTGGAATAGGTAAACCTTGCTTAATCTAAATCAAAGCAGCAAATATTGGTGATTTACCGTCGCACCAGCATTATTCACCAAGACATGGACCTCTGCAGAATCGAAGAGATTGAAGATGTTAGTTTCTCTTAGTGATCCATATGCTTGTCAGCCATCTGACATCCAATAATTTTAGTTAACACCTATCCACTTACTTGACTCTCGCTTTGAAATCTCTGCAACTAATCTCTTGACCTCATCCATACTTTGAAGGTCTGCAGGGAGAGAGATGCATTTGCCGGGCCCCAGCTTTGTCAATTCGTCTGCAACCTTGTCACAAACACCAGCAGAACGTGAGGAGATATAGACTTTAGCACCATTGACGATAAAACCGTGGGCGATCATCAAGCCGATCCTTTATTTATGATGCATGAATTCAAGCAACAGAGCAATCAAACAGATTCAGTTAATATGAGAAAAAAAAAATAGGATTGGAAATTTCTGTACTCCGAAAAAAAAAAGAGAAGGGATTGCCAGCCGGTTTGGCAAGACAAAGGCTCCCTTACCCTCGGCTGCCACCAGTGACAAGGACGACCTTATCCTTAACGTCAAATAAGGAGGAAGACTGCATAGATGACATGATATAGTGAGAAATAAAAGCGAATAGGGTTGAAAACTATGAAGAAGAAGAGGAATGGAGTGAAATGAGGTAGAGATGAGAAGAAGAGAGGAAAAAATGAATGCATGAGAAATGGAGAAAATCTGAATGAAGTGACGATCCGAGCGTGTACGTGAGCAAGCAAAAATAAAAAGTGCCACCAATAATGGCACGGACCGACTACTCGATCACTCGCAGATTTCACGAATTATTTTATCAAGTTGAAACTGACAGATTAAGAGATGATTGCAGCCGTCAATACTCCTGTCAAACCCCTCTGCACTAAATAAGATCCCATTCTGACAGCCAAGAACCCCTAAAAATCCTCATTGATAACATGGATGGGCTTCTTTATCGACAATGGTACAGCAAGTGTCTCGAAAGATAACTAATGTGAAAATTTTATATCGGCACAGCATGTGAATCGCTCCAAGAGAACTTCATCTTCAACGATGAGATCAGCTTTGATTACGGTCGTAAATTTCGATACTAATGATCTAATTGGTAATGATTCGAAAAGCCAGGATTGATGATTCTATGTGTCCATCACGGATACATTCGTTAACATAGTATATTAGCAGTAGATCTTGATCTGGATTCCGGCTTCATCGCTAGGAAGAGTCTGTAACTGTATTCTCGTTTTAATCTCTGCTTCAATAAGTCCAAGTATACGCCAACTCAATTCGACACCCTTATAGCACAACTGACTTCTTTTGGTAGTCTTGAAGAGCTCTTGTAGAAAGCTACGTTGGTAGGGATTTACATACACCGGCAAGGGATTTTCCGTTGTGACAACCGAATATTTTTGTTTAACGATGGATAAGGGATGTGCTTGGAAACACCTTTTATTGTGATTTAATGTTATCACGTGAATGGCCACCAACCACAGGACGCTGATTGCTCTCGTTTTGTCTTTTTTTGAGAAGGATATTCATCATCGTAATAGCTGGATGTACGCTTTCAAATGCCATCACAAGGACCTATTCCTCATACGATTCAATCTGACCAAATTCCCAACAGTAATGCTTAGAGATGTAACATAATATTAAGGGAGAAGGCAAGCATCAAGTGATAGTCTTCCAATACTCCTTACATTACACTGAAAGAATAATCAATGACTTGGGTAGAATAAAAAGACCAATATGTGCGAGCTGAAAGGAGGACAATCATTCAATTTTCAGATATTCATGCTATGCTCATATATTTTGGAGCCACAGTCGGATTTTATGGTCCAGTATTGAAGAAAAATACAAACAACAAGTTTTTTACTCAAAATCCCACTGTTAATTAAACTTTATTGTTATGATGCCTTTGGATGCAAACAAAGCGTTATACCGGTGCAACTTGTGGATTACGCGTCCAATGGACTGTTCCAAAGGCTGGGTATAATAAACGTCATAAATATTCGAAAAAATGCAAGGAAGTACTCCTAATACGGACACATTCAAAAATATGTCTGATCACATTACTAGATGGCAGGTAAACTCCATAAGCACATTCCAGGAAACTGGATTTGAAAATATGCTGAGGGCATAAAATAAACATCGACCACAGTGCGCTGACTATTTTTCCATTGCTATCCTAACGACAGGATGTTGTAGTGCAATATGAATATGAATAAGCACATCAACAAAAAAAAAGGTAAAACGCGTGTATGTAGATGTACGCGTTTGTGTTTGAATCCACAATCAAAGTTCAAAGCTGCAACCGGGATTTTATCTGAGAAAGGAGATTGAGGCTACTGTTTGATTTGGTCTTTAAAAATATATAAATATTTATCTCGCGCCTTTCGGCCCATTTGAAAGACTCCTTTTTAGCTGTCCTTCCTTTCCATTAATTCAGGGCCGAAATGAGCTTTCTCCTTGTCATTTTGGTATTGCTTATGACCTACAGAGTGCATCAACAAACAAAAGCAAAAAAGAGAAACTGCTCAGTATTGCTATTGTTTGTTGTCATATCAAAGGAAGACCCCTTGAACCTGGACCTGGAGGCAATGACTTTCGTCGACAGCTCCTTTTCTCCCTTCAGGATATTCATCCCTTATATTTAATGATAAACAAGTCTACAATAAGAACAGTAACAAATAATAATACTCCGAGCGCCAGATTGCTTAGAATTACACGTTTGCACCATATCGCATATTGCGCACTACAATTGAGCTTTTCCCTAGTCGATGGTGTGATGGATGAATAAGAAATAAAGAAGGAGACAGTTCAAGGACGTTAGCCCCCAGATACAATTACTGCCACTTCTATAGCCCAGACAACAACCATCGCATGAATGTCATTGCATCAGCCATGTGCGCCATTCAATTTGGATGGCACGGCTCATTACTCATTCTCCTTTTTTTTTTTTTTTACTTTTTACTTTTTCTTTAATTGCCCCGCCAATCCTTCTCTCTCTTTTCTCGTCCTCCTATTTAGTTGTCAAGTGGTGTATTCCACATTTTAACTGTCACTTGGCATTACTCGATCGTTTCTATCCAATCGACTTTCCTTTTATTCCTAAAACCGTTGTTGTACCATTAATCATGAACAGGATTGAAATTCTGTCTTTGCCCAGGAACAGCTCCTCGAAGCTTTCAGAGCCAGGTTTGGCCCAATTATTTGACAGTTCTCTGCAGATCGTTCAACAACCTCAAACGTTACAACTTCCTGATACCCTACTACACTCACCACATCATCATCAACCTCACATTATCCGACATGAGTCTCACTATCAGGAGCAGCAACAGCAACAGCAGCAGCAGCAGCAACAGCATCAACTACAACAGCAACATCGGCAGCGAGACATCTTCTAGTCCCATCATGCGTTTGCCTGTTGACATCTTACTGTATATTGCTTCACCACGATTCCATCATTGAATGACATTATGCAATGGCGCACAACCGCATCCACATTTTACCACTCAATCCCTTTACCACACGCAACATTGGTAAGAATATAATGTCATACTCGAAAACTAAGCGTAGATCGACCAATAATCAGTAACAAAAATGCAGGTGCGCTGTGCATTGCATAGAGTTATTTTAGTATCTTTTTGTCTGGTTGCTGACACTCCTTGTTCCGTTTTACCCCTTTTTATTTCCCCTTGCAGATTCTACAAGCTTCACACCTGTTTCAGATTAGGCCACGACGTAGTCGAATTCAACCGCCCTTATCCGACCGTTCCTCCTCTCTACCACCACAATCACAACCAGATATCCATTCTTTGTACAAGGATCGTCAACTGAATGACATCATTGCTCGATTAACTAGGATACTGACGCATCCAGAGTTCCAACCCCGTCTCATGAGATCCAGCTACTCATTTCGCCATCATATCATCGATGTCCCACATCATCAAGTCCGACAAAGGCCACAGCGCACTGGCGCTAGAATTACTGCTGACAATCAACCATCAATTCACCAGTATTATGCTGAAGCCGTCTTTAAAAGGACAAAAAGAAGACGCCGAGATTTACTAGACTATCCCATCTTTACAACAGGCGACCCGCCAGATCTTGTCCGCCTCGCAATCGAATTTGGATACACACCTTTTGTAGATCATCTGTTGCATCGCGGCTTCCGTCCACGCGATCTACCAGAATATTTCTCAATGATTCCATTCTTGCCCGTTGAGACAATAACAACTGTACCTGACCATGAGGCTACGATCGTGGATAACAACATTCATTATAAAAGTAAAGATCAGCTTCGGTGTCCGAGCGAGGATCGT